CAAGCTCGGAAGATGGAAGTGTCAGAGGAAGGAGCATCAAGGAAAGATGAAAAGGTGAACAAGGTCAACTGGAAGCAGGCAGAAAGAAAGCCAAAGAAGGATGAAGCTGTGAGAGGGCAGCAAAACCAGATGAAAAATGCAAGAGGTAAGATGATGCAAAGCAGTCAAAGGGAAGATGAAAGGAAATGCTTCAGATGTGGCAAAGGTAACCATCTGATAAAAGACTGCAGAGTGCCGAAACATGTCAGATGTAACAACTGTTCAAAGCCGGGTCACCTCCAAGCTGCGTGCAGGAACCCGAGTGCTGAAGAGAGAGTGAGGGTGAACTGTAATGAAGGTGACAAAGTAGAAGATGACGAGGAAGACAACTATTGTGTGTATCAAGCAAGCAGGGAGAAGTCAAAGGCGATCAAGGTGAGCATGTCCGTAAATGGCAAGGATGTGGAATTCCTGGTTGACACAGGATGCCCAGTGACGTTGATGCCAGACAGTGTGCTTCCTGGACTGAGTCTGCGGAAAGCTGGATGTCGTCTGACCTCATATACAGGGCACAAGATCCCTGTGCTGGGTGTCACTGATGCAGAAGTAGTGTACCAAGGAAACAAGAAGGAACTGGAAGTGCATGTGGTGGAAGGAGATGGACCTCCACTACTGGGACGTAACTGGCTGAAAGAAATCAGACTGGACTGGGAACAGCTGGTGGGAAGTATGCAATCTCAGAAGACAATGCGTTGGAAGCTGGAAGATGTTCTGCAGAGGAATGAAGAGCTGTTTGATGGTACGCTGGGTCAGATGAAGAACACTGAAGCTCATCTAGAGCTGAAAGAGGATGCCAAACCAGTGTTCCAGCCACCACGACCTGTGCCATATGGTCTCGCGGACAAAGTGAAGCAAGAGTTGTCAAAATGGGTGGAACTTGGAGTGACAAAAGAACTGACGTCAGAGGATGCAACGCCGAAGTGGGCCACGCCTCTCGTAGTCGTACCAAAGCCGGACGGATCAGTAAGGCTCTGTGGAGATTTCAAGGTAACGCTGAACCCAAACCTGGAAGTGCCGAAGCACCCGCTGCCGAAGATGGAGGACATTTTTGCAACAGTGGGACCGGTTCGATACATCTCAGTGATTGACCTCTCCCAAGCGTATCTGCAGATGCCCCTCAGCACAGATAGCCAGGAATACTGTGTTCTCAACACACCATGGGGGATGCACCGTATGCTGCGACTACCATACGGGGTGAAGTCAAGTCCAATGCTCTTCCAGAGGGAAATGGACAGAATCCTCAAGAATGTGCCTGGAGTGAAGTGTCTGTTGGATGATATGCTCATCACAGGAAGAACTGAAGAAGAAGCACTGAAGCGACTGGACGAAGTGATGCAGATCATGAAGTCACACGGTCTGCGTCTGAAAAAGGAGAAATGTCAGTTTCTGACAAAGGAAGTCCGGTACCTAGGGCTCAGGCTAGGAGCCGAGGGCATCAGAACAGATCCAGAACGTGTGAAAGCCGTGCTGAACGCAAGAGCACCCACCAACCAGAAAGAAGTTCGTGAGTTTCTCGGTGCTGTCACGTTCTACAACCGCTTCCTGAAGAACCTCTCGAAGACAGCAAGGCCGTTGAATGAACTCCTGAAGAAAGACAGCGAATGGAAGTGGACTGCAGAGTGTGAAGCCAGCTTCAACAGCATCAAGAGACAGCTGTCATCAACGGAAGTGCTGCGTCATTTCGACGTGACGGAGCAGGTGACGGTGATCACGGACGCTAGTCCAGAAGGACTAGGCGCCGTACTCGTTCAAGGGAAGGATGAGCGGCCGATCATGTACGTGTCAAGATCGCTGAGTGAACACGAGCGGAAATACTCTCAGATAGAAAGGGAAGGACTCTGTGTAGTCTGGGCATTTCAGCGACTGAAGCAGTTCCTGTACGGGCGCCATTTCAAGCTCGTAACGGACAACAAGCCGCTAGCTCACGTCTTTGGACCTAAGGCGCCGCTGCCGACGTTGGCTGCCTCACGGATCCAGAGATGGGCGATGAAGTTGGCGGAGTACGATTTCTCTGTGGAAGTCAGGAAGTCGGAACAGATTCCAGTAGCTGATTGGCTCTCACGTCTACCGAGAGAAGGCTCAGTGCTGAAGTCAGAAGCACCAGAAGACGAGTGCACTGTCTGTCTGATCGGACAACTGGAGTCGCTAAGTCCGGTGACGGCCGCAGCGATTCAACGAGAGACGGCCAGAAGCCCAATCCTGGCGAAGGTGATGCACTTCGTGCACAACGGCTGGTCAGAAGCCGTAAATGAAGAGCTACAACCATTCAAGATGAGGCAAACCGAACTGACCGTGGAGCGCGGATGTCTAATGTGGGGATGTCGCGTCGTGGTTCCGCCGAACCTGAGATCCAGAGTGCTGAGCGAGCTGCATGCCGGACATCAAGGAATGGTGAAGATGAAGCAGCTCGGAAGGATGCACGTCTGGTGGCCGAACATGGACAAGCAGATCGAGGCGGAAGTCCGGAACTGCGAAGGCTGCTGGCAAAAGCGAGCAGAGCCACCAAGCGGAGATCTCCACCCATGGGAGTATGCCAAGGGACCCTGGCAACGGATACATCTAGATTTCGCTGGTCCTGTGGAAGGTAGATTCTACGTGGTTGTCATCGACAGCTATTCGAAGTGGATGGAAATCGCTCCAATGAAGACCATCACAACAGAGAAGACGATTGAATACCTGCTGAACCTGTTCGCTAGGTGGGGACTGCCTCACCAACTGGTCACGGATAATGGTCCACAACTCGTCAGCAAGGACTTCGAAGGGTTCTTGGAGAGGAACGGAATCAAGCACAGTGTCACAGCGCCGTACAAGCCGTCCACTAACGGAGCTGCGGAAAGAGCAGTGGGTTGTCTGAAGAACCTGCTGAAGGCCTCAAAAGGCAAGAAGGTCAACATCCCGAACTTCCTGATGGCGTACCGCAGTACGCCACAAGCGTCAACAGGACGTACACCGGCGGAGTTGATGCTGGGCAGGCCGCTACGAAACCGCCTGGACCTCCTGAAGCCCAACCTCGCAAGTGAAGTTCGAGAGAAGCAACAGGAACAAGTAGAAAGATCACAGAAGGGAACCGACAGAACGCTCGAAGTCGGCGAATCAGTCCTGGTCCGCGACTACCGAGGTGCACAGAAATGGAGGGAGGGAGACGTCATCGAACGACAAGGCAGTAAACACTACCTAGTCCAAGTGCAAGACGAAGTGTGGCGTCGACACATCGATCAGATTGTCTGTCTGCCAGGTGTCCGACCTCCAGTGACTAATCTGCGGCAGGAGATCAATCCGTCTGAGCACTGCAATCTCCCAGCGCAAGACGCACCAGCGGTGCAGCGGGAACATGGTCGGTAACTTCAACCGGTAACCGCGGGCTCGTGCTGGAGGAAGATGGGATCGCTGCAACACAGTCACCTGAAGCAGCGTCAGCAGCGAAGGCGAACACTGAACAAGAGACTGTGGGTCCTAGGGCACGTCCAGCGGACGTCATCCGGAAGACCCCAGAACTGCGCACTCATCCCCAGCGTGAGCGTAAACCTGTAGTGCGCATGAACCTGTAAAGTGTTGTTTAGTGGGGAGGAGTGTTGTGTATTAGGATGATGTCTCTTGTGACGTCATTTACTCTGCCTGGATTTAGAGAGTGTGCCTCATATGGAGAACCTTGGAAGTTGTTGTTCTTGGCCTTGTGTAGTATGGAAGAAACGTTCTGAGTAAAAAGGAGTCTTTGGAGTCAGCCAAAAGCATGAAGTACAATCGGAAGTAGCAGAATAAGGAAAGTACTGACCACTCGATACACAACAACTATCCCATGATCATTGCGGCCATGAATGATTATTCTTTAACACCGGTAACACTGCCATTCTTTAACACCGGTTTCGCTGCGCTGAGCAGTGGCCGTCCCGTTTGTTGGATTCTACGGCTGGCTGGCGGAAAGCGTTACCGGCCGCCCGTCCACCGCCCGCGGGCCGGACCGAGCGGTCCCGCTGACCCTACCTGACCTGAGCCCGGCGCGATATGGGACGGGCAGACGGGGGTTCGGCTCAGCGAATGCAGCGCCCACTGGTGCGGGGGACTTTTTTAATAGACCTACTGTACCTAGTGCATCGGGTGTCCGAGGCTCGGCATCGGGCCCCCGGTAATACGAGTGTGAGGCGGCCGCACCCTGCTCGGCTCCAGTCAGAGCCAGCAGTCGAGAGGCTCCGCCCGGCCGCACAGCACGGCAGTGCCTTAGTGTTTTGCACCGCGAGTTTGTGAGAATACATCGGAATCCGGAGACGGCGGTGGACACTACAGTATTGTCACGCCTTAAGAGGTAATGTAGGAGCGCAGGTGTGCAGTAAGTTTTCTTTGTCCAACTGTCACTGTAATTTCTAGTGTTACCATTTAGACGCTGAAACTACCTATGCTAGGTAGCCTTGCTAGAAATATAGTGTGTCAATTTTTGTTCAATAAATCAGTACGATCCACGATCGGTGGCTCGTTTCATCCTAGTCAAGCGCAGAGCTACCGACACGGGCGCACATCGGGAGTCTCCTCCTCCCTTGGAGTTGTGTGGTGCCGACGGTGGCGGATGGTAGTCTCTGCCTTGACAATCCTAACATTCTCTCTCACAACGGGAGGAGAACTACTAGCGGTATGCACTGCTAGCAGTTCAAGTGGTGACCGGCTACTCTCAGCCGTGCCACAAAGACATCGTGTGTGATGAAAACTAACATGAAATTCGTGATCAGTGCCCCGAAAAAAAAACATGACAACCTCACTTTACGAAGTTCTGACAGGTCCCGATTTTCCCGACTTTTGGGGACCATTGACCTGACCTGGAAGATCAACCAATGACCTAACCTAGGACCTTAAAGTACGTTCACAGCTGGCAAAACACCAATACGGGCGAGGGTTAATAGCAGTGAATTTGGGACGCGTTGGCAGAGACTGGTGGTGCCTGTGGTCCGTTGAGCGCGTGTTGTTGTTCTCAGACGGCCTGCCTGGCAGCCGCGCTGCTGGTCGTGCAGCTGAGCCCACCCAGCGCCGGCCAGTACATGAGCGGCTACGGCACGGGGCCGGTCGTCCCCGGACTGCTGACGGCGCCGGCCGACTCCGGCGACCCCAAGTACGACGACGCCAAGGGCGCCAGCCGGTTTGCAGCACTCTACTACGGCCAGAACGGCGTCGGCCGCCGCCACCCGCTCCCAGTGAGTGCCAGCGGCGGCTGGAGCGGGCTGGGGCGGCTGCCAGTGTCAGTGTCAGAGTCAGTGTCTGTGTCAGTCAGACTCAGTGTCGGTCGGTATCAGTGTTGGAATCAATGTCGGTTCCAGTGTCAGTACCGACCAGAGATGTCAATCGGATACCAACTTGTTGTTATACCGATACCAAACCGATACCAACTTGGTATTGGGTATTTCAATCCTAATGTGTTTGGTATTTTGTTGGTAATGAAACCTCACTTACGTATAAGAGGCTAAGACATTGGTAAAAAGTTGGTATTTCCCTCATGTTCCCGAGCTCGTCAGGTTTCGGTATTTCCCCACGTTTTTTTTTTATACATTTAGCTCGAATGCTTGAATGGACGGATTGACAGAGCCGGAGCTCACGCTAAGCAGAGCTTGTTGCGTAGACCCCGACCCCTACCGTCCGATCGCGCAATTCCGGGTAACGGGAGAATTTAGATGCCAAAGTTTAACGTGCCCTTCAAAGCCGGACACGGCCTGTCCCACTCAACTGACTTCAACTGGCTGCGGCTGCTCCCACCAACCGCAGACCATCCCCGTCAGGAGTCTCAAATATCGAGCGCCGGAGCGTCTCGAACCCGGGCTGTCACTACCGGGAGTCCAATGCTCTACCAACTGAGCTACGGGACAGTTTTGGTTGGTATTTGGTTTGGTATCGGTATTCCGATTTTCTGTAACTGACATCACTAGTACCGACTGTGTCATTGTCATTGTCAATGATGTGTCACTGTCGTTGTCAATGTCTGTATCAGACTCAGTGTCGGTGTCAATGTCTGTATCAGACTCAGTGTCGGTGTCAATGTCTGTATCAGACTCAGTTTCGGTGTCATTGTCAGTGTCAGTGTCAGACCCAGTCATAGGCGTAGGAACAGGGGGGCATGGCCCCCCACTTTCGGAGGTGGGGGGGGGGGGGTAGCAATGTTAACTGCCCTCCCCCCACACACACTTTTTGCTGACTTTGGTGTCTGTCTGTACTAGAGATGTCAATCGGATACCAACTTTTTGGTATACCGATACCAAACCGATACCAACTTGGTATTTGGTACCTATTTCAATCGTAATGTGTTTGGTATTTTGTTGGTATCATGAACCCTCACTAATGTATAAGAGGCTAAGAAATCGGTGAAAAGTTGGTATTTCCCTATTTTCCCAAGCTGGTTTGGTTTTGGTAACTTCCCACGGTTTTGGTTAGTATTTGGTTTGGTATCGGTATTCCGATTTTCCGTAATTGACACCACTAGTCTGTACCTACCACCCGGTACCCTAAACACCACAACTTGGCGACTGTTCAGCTCCCGTTATGAAGATTCCCTTTTGTTTCTACAGCGTTATTGACCGCAATTTCCTTCATTCAATGAATGAAACCATATCAGCGACAAAACTCTACAGGGTTGGGCAGATAAATTGGGACAAAATATATATTTGCATTTAGAACGCCGTAGCTTAGAAAATTGTAAACATAGGCATTTCAAAATTGGATCACATATTGTCACACCAATTTTACACATTTTCACCAAATATGGTCACCGTGGTCCACCTGCATCAGTCCTTATCGGTGCCTGGACTGGCCGCACGCGCGGCGAGATCTTCCGTCTGAAATGGCTCGTAATTGTAGCCAACTGGCACTGCTGAGGCTCACCACAGTCACATGGGGACGTTCGTTAGACTCACCCGCAAAAACGCCCCAGCAACCAGAACTTGTGTGGGCTGAGGTTTACTGAGGAAGGGGGCATTTTCCCTTGGGTACAGTTTGCGGGATCCTCCGTTTCAGGAGATTTTGTATTTAATTTACTGTATGCCGGGGAGCTGACTCCTCGAAGAGCATCACTCCATGCAGGATGTTGCCTTCTTTCATCTTGTTGATTCGAACTGCCGGAATAATGGTTAGGTACACTCGGGGGCAGATTGATGTTCTACAACTCTTTATCCACCGGGATCCTATGGCTCAGCATTGGCAGCAGCCGCCTGGTACCGTTAGACTGTGCTGCTTCACTTACTTGTCAAGCGGCACAGCCTACCCACCCGTATGACACCGGTCTGGGTCGGTGGCTGGAAGGTGATGTGGGCCGCCTGTGACGTCAGCGCAGCGGTGAGGGCCGAGCCCGGAGGCATGGCTCGGGTCGGCGCGGCGCGGCGGCTGGCGAGGGCTGGGGAGTGAGCTAGGTGGGGTGGGAGCACGGACATCGCGCGGCTGAGCGAGTGTAGTTAACTTTCGCGTCTCAAGGCGCCAATTATTCTACCTAACAATGGTGCTAAAGCAGTTGTTAAAATGTCCTATCCCCAAGACAGCGCCTATCATCATACGCAATGCACATTGCGACACACTTAAGCGTGGCAATGGGACACCCGATAGAACTTATGTCACTCCTGCATCGAGGTGCGGAGCTATATTATGTATAACATATTAGTATTAAGGCCTTGATTGAGCAGATTGGTGTCTATTGTTTCGCACAGCAATCGTCCAGAGACGTGGGAACTGGGGGTTATGAGTAGTGCCGCAGCCAACGCCCCTATGTAGCCAGGAGCCTGCCACTAATAGGGTTAAAGCGATTATTACTGTTACTCTAATATGTATGTGGTCGCAGCGACCAATAGCAAACCCTGAGCAAACCGTTCCAACTAGGAGCCAAAAACTCGGCTACTCAGGGGGGTTCGAACCGGGCTTCTCCCACCGGCCAATTCACGACACGTGCGTTCATCCACTGAGCTACCGAGAATGGTCCTCGTCTGCACAAAACAAAATGACATTCACCCGCTGACCGCCAATGACAGTATTGTGACATTTGATCGCGTTTGACCGCGGTGGGTGGTCGCTGGTTTCGGCAGCTCAGTGGATACACGCTAGCGTCGTAGGGTACACGCTAGAAGCCCGGTTCGAACCGTCCCAGGTGCGCGACTTATTTGTTCCTACTTCCTAGATGGAACGGTTTGCTATTGGTGGCTGCGACCACACATTAGAGGAACATTAAGAGTTGCTTAAAGTTGGGACGCCGCGCTATCCAAAAACCCCAGTTCCCACGTCTCTGGACGATTGCTGTGCGAAATAATAGACACCAATGAGCTCAATTAAGGCCTTAATACTTATCTGTTAAAAACAATGTAGCTCCGCAACTCGATGCACGTGTGATATAAATTCTATCGGCTGTCCCAATGCCACGTCGTATGTGCATGTAATGTGTGTCGTAATGTGCATGGCAAGTATGATGATAGGCGCTGTCTTGAGGATAGGACATTTTAACAACTGCTTTAGCCCAATTGTTAGGTAGAATAATTGGCGCCTTGAGACGCGAAAGTTAACTAAACTCGCTCAGCCGCGCGATGGTCCGTGCGCCCACCCCACCTCACTCCCCAGCCCTCGCCAGCCGCCGCGCCGCGCCGACCCGAGCCATGCCTCCGGGCTCGGCCCTCACCGCTGCGCTGACGTCACAGGCGGCCCACATCGCCTTCCAGCCACCGACCCAGACCGGTGTCATATGGTGTGGGTAGGCTGTGCCGCTTGACAAGTAAGTGAAGCGGCACAGTCTACCGGTACCAGGCGGCTGCTGCCAATGCTGAGCCATAGGAACCTGGTGGATAAAGAGTTGTAGAACATCAATCTGCCCCCGAGTGTACCCTGTAATGGCGAACCCCTTCCCGATTCCGTAAAATAAGGGGGCCCCACGTGACCGTCAGAAGTCATCGGGTGGAATGCCATCACCGATGTCTGCTGCATGCTTTTTGGAACTAAGATCACGTCTTCTGGGCTGGTTGCGATGTTACATGGTGTTTGCGGTTGTTCATATGTTCGGTTATGGGGATACCATCGTCCGAAAAAGACCTGCACGTGCTTGCTCGCTTCTCCAAGCCCTTCAAGAGGAAACAATCTTTTTAACGTCACAGCTGCTTCAACATCTATGTTGACAGGTTGATATGCATCAATGCATAAGAGTCCATGTTTGAGGTGCTGGTATATCGCTTTCTCATGGCGCGGCTACCTTCGTTGTAAGCTCGCGCCACTGTTTTCGCGAGGATCCTCTGATTTAACTGAATTTTGCCTTTTAGCCCCCCTGAAAAACCGGGGGAGCGGCCGGTGTCAATGCAATAGGTATGTAAGAATGAGTCAATATCATCTCTTCCTCCTACGTTTACGTCTGTTCGATACACACTACTTTCAGCCATTTGATGGAGCATAATTAGAGTATTGGCACGCATGTGCGCGCGAACTAAGTTGATAGTGGCTTTCTTAAGCCCACGTTCTGTGACCAGCCGACTCAAAATTACAACACAACCTGCATAACATGGAAACGTATTCGTTAGCCTATATTTATGTTCAAAAATTATCTTTATCACTCAAAAAATAGTCCTTTTAGAGGAAGTTGAAATTTGTCCCAATTTATCTGCCCAACCCTGTAAGTCCTGGTGGCAGCATTTTGTTGAATACGAGGCAGGGCAGCGAGCACTGAAAAGGTATAAAACAATACTGGCACGGTGCAAGAGAATGCGTATACAAACGACCAACGCTTGACCGGATCTGCTTGGGGTCGGCATAGTTCGTCAAGGGCGCAGTAGCTTGGGTCCAGGGTGACAATGCCCCCCCCCCCCCCTGCCTCGGTTAAAACAGGCTGGGGGCCAGCAATGTCTGTATCTGCCCCTCCCCCTTCCACTTTCAGTGCAGTGGCGGTCGCAGAGGGGGAGGTATCAGGGACATGCTGTTCCCCCTCCAAAGGCAAATCAGGGGCCATCATATCATTTGTCCCCCCCCCTCCCCCAACAACCAATGGGCCCCCATGGGCGTATGGGGCTCTGGCCCTTATTTGATTGTCACGAGGCTCAAGAAACTCACGCCAGCTATTAACCTGCGCCCCGCTGGGGGTCCTGGATTTCCATGCCCTGTTGGGGGGGGGGGGTGTTTGAACACCCCGGGGCCACGTAGCGATACGCGAAAGGCGGCGGTCGAAAGGGCGCCAAAAATAATGACGAAATCACTTCGGTCACTTTTTTGGTCAGGTCACCAGAGGTCATTGAAGGCAAAATTTCGCCGATTTTCGGGTCGAATGTCAACAAGTTCCAAGACGCCAGCGCATAACTCTGGAACCAATAGAGCTACAGCGCCGTGGAAAAGCGCATTCGATAGCCCTAGCAACGACCTTTCTGAATAATTTTCTCAGATTTGACAAAACATCAGCAGTTTGGCCTACAGGGAGCAAAAACTGCCAAAACAGCCGTTTTTTTCGGAAGTTTTTCTACAATAACTTTTGTAGTTTCCACAGCCGACGCTGTGGTGCAGCAGTCGCCACAGGCGACCGCCGCCGGGCGTCCACGACTCCAAGCTCAGCTGCTCACGCACGTCGAGACCACGCCGTTGACTGAACAGTTGTATTTAAACTGATTCGTTACTGTGGAGCACAGCAGGGCGTCAGCAGAGCATACTAGGGCACGAATTCACCAGCGCTCACATCGACACTCGCACTGCGCAGTACATACAAAATATGTTGGTTTAGATTAAAGGAAAACAATAATACATTTATCAGCAATTTCCGTTTTACACCTCCCACTCTCTAGTTAACACAATTCCCCTGCAAATATCACCTCGAAGTTACTAAACAAATAAACATATCCTACCGGCTGTAAGGGTCTCCACGCCCTTTTCTCAGCGGCCGACCTCGAACCGCAGCAGACTCGCGCCGGCCGACCTCCCGGCGGCAGACCTCGTACCGCGGCCGACCTCGCACCGCAGCCTCGTCACACGGCGCACTCAGCCACGGGGAAAACCGGGCTCGCACAGGCCGAGCTCATCCCCGGGCACCTATACAAACAGAGCACACTGCAAAATGACGCACCTGAGGCGAAATTCCATGCCGTCCTATGAGCATATTATAATCACCGAAATACGTATGCAAAATAAATCTAACGCCTGACGAGCAATCAACATTCCTTGAGCAACAAATTTACGACAATCATCGATGAATATCCACCCACCTTCTGTCCAAAACCAGCACCGCAGCCGACACAACCTCTCGGGCCAGACGCACCCGCCGGAAAGAACGAAATAGTGTCGCGCACTGACAGGTACCGAGATTTCACCATCACTCGCACACATCAAATTAAGTAGGTTGGGCATTCCAAATCCACGCGACGAATACAGTAATATTTCTCATAGTTAAATCTTCAATATCTCGGCAGAAAACACACGCCTTCTATACATTTTATCCGCCTCGCTCGACGCACATCTCTAAAGTTGCCAGAATTCTGACGCAACAAACTCGGCTAGAGGGCGGGGAGTGATGACAAAACAGAATAACGTGTAAATCAAAGGCATAGGTAAATCAGACAGGCCGGAAAAGGATAATGCAACACGGACAAGTACCACAATGCACCAAATCTGGCTGGCGCCATCTACAACTTTTGACTCAAGCCATGCACGAGTTAAGTTTTACCGGTATCGTGTTCCTCTCGTCAAGACGCATCGAATGAATTATAATTTGACATTGAAATGTCAGCTTGAAAATTTTTCCTCAGGTTTAGGTGACCTGACCGGAAAGGGTCATGTTGCACATCAATCGATCTGTATCGTCGAGATGACCACATCTAAGGTGCTTTCATCGCTCTAGCATGTCTCTATCAAAAGTCATTCGCGAAAAACTGTTAGACACCATTCGTGACCTGAGATGACCTGAGTGGCATAACAGGGGTCACGGACACCATTTTCATGTTCAGTGTGTCTAAGTTACTTGTAATTCAGTGTTTGGGAGTGTTTATAATGGCTTTCGTCCAAAAGAGGCGCATTTCAGTTTTCTCCCATTGACTTATAATGACTTGAGGATGTAGCAAAATTGACTTGACCTTAGGTCATCGATATCAAAATTCTGAGAGGTACATTTTTTACACACTATTGCTGTTAGCAACGTCTGAAAGTTTCAAGCGATCGGTCATTCGGTGTAGCTATGGCAGACATTGAAACTTTTTATGAGGTGAGGTCACTTCAAGTGACCTGGTGACCTGACCTTGAATGACCTTGGTCTGAAATTTTTACAACATGTGTACAACCGATGTATGATAAGGTGTGCCACAAACGGTGGCGCTCCGCGCCGCCGTTTTTGAGATATTCGCGAAAAAAACAGGGGGTGTTCAGACACACGGCACGGCACGGGTTAACAGCTCCCATACCGGTCTTTGAGGGTCTACACTGATCTCGGAGGGCCATTCAGTAGCGGTCAAGCACCCACATTGACCTTTGAGAAGTGAGAACCCACATTGACCTCTGAGGGCCCTCCACTGGTATTCGATGGTCCCTAAACCGGCCTCAGGTGGCCTCATTTCTGTGCCTGGGGTCCCAACACTAACCTTTAACCCTAGAACGCCTAGGGGGGGTTGTATCAACCCCCCCTGAGGTTTTTTCGAAGTGCACGCTAAACGGCTTGTCGTAGCGGGCTGAAATTTTCAATACCCTCTGGGGCAACCTTTGCGCATCTTTTGCCGAAAAAAATTGATCGGGTCATGTCAGGTCACGGAGTTATGACGTCATAAAAGGTACAGCCTCCGGCCGACAGTTACCAAACGTGTGCGCCGAACCCCTAGGTTTTCTGCCGGTGATACCCACATTGTTTGATGGATCATGATGAAACTTCCCATGCATGTTGGGGCAAGCATTGGCTATCGTGTGGTGCAAGAAAATTGACCGGGTCAGGTCAGGTCACGGAGTTATGACGTCATAAGAGGAACAGCGTCCGGTACTATTTTTGAAAAGCGCCCGAACCACTATTTTGCTCATTCTTGTCACCTCAATGGGAATATGCAGCAATATTAGCTTCTATAAGGAGCAAATGGACCTTCCAAATCCAAAAATACAATCAGATTTCAAAAATTTAAATTTTGATTTTTCGAATTTCTGCCGCCGACTGTGACCTTGCCGACTTCCGGCGCTCCCAACGCGCCATTTTTAGAGCTAGGGAAACGAAATACAAACCAAACGATAGAGAATTGATCAAGGAACACGATAGTGAAGGTTTCAAGTCGATATCTCCCACCGTTTTGCCGCAATCGCCGCGGAAAGTTGAAAAAGTCTATTTTTCCGAAAATTTGACCTTTGACCGGTCAAAAGTAGGTCAAATGTTGACCTAGGACCAAAAAATATACCACCAATCGCGAGATCTCGTTGAGAGCAATCCGTTGGTTTTTTCTGCTAAGCTCTACGACCTTCCGTTTCGAAACGCCAGGGGGGGTCGTAACAACCCCCCCCCCCTGGTCGTTCGTGTTATGAGAAATGGCCTGGTCGTGCGAGGGTTAAGTGCCTCTGAGGGCCCCGCACTGAATTCTGAAGATCCGATGCCGGCCTCTTAGGGTCCACATCGGCCTCTGAGGGCTCATCCTGGCCTTAACCCGCGACCGCCTGGGGGGGGGTCGAACCGACCCCCCCCCCCCTCCGTTTTTCTTGAACAACTCAAGAAACGCTTACGCTATCAACTTGAAACTTGGCATACCTTCTCCCCCATCAATTTGACGTCTCCTGTGTAATTTTTAAGAAACTTTTTAAAAAAAATTTGAGATATAGCGATTTTAGTGATGTAACTACATGGCGTTTTTAGTCAAAAAGTGGTAAATGTTTAAAAAATCGCCAAAAATCAGGGTTTGAAACAAATTGCAAATTAAGGGCACTAAAAGACGCAGCTTAACGAGTTCTTTAAAATGGCTATCTCGGATTTTCCATAAATTGCATTTTTCACCCCTAAAAATTCAAAAAACTATATTTTTTTGGAAAACAGCTAATAAAATACAAAATTTTGAGAATTTCCAAAAAAAACGGAATATATGTTATAGGGCTCTATTAGAACATTAGATGTCCCAGATTTCAACTTTCTATCTTGATTGTTGACCCCCAAATTGTAAAAAATAGCTCCAACATGCATAGGGCATGGTGACGTCATAAGCATTTTCGTGAATTAGGGGCACTTCTGAACATCGCATGTGAAAACAAATGGCACCACTAGATTCCTGGGACAAAGCTCGTCTAGAAAAGTGCATTTTTATGTCAAAAATAAAAAGTTGAAAAATTGACCTTTTTCTCAGCCCTCGTTTAGTTATGTATGGTATAAACGATTTTTTATGCTTTCAATGCACACTTATCACCAGCACAGTGACTTGGGGTCACATATAACCATTACCATCGGATTTGGCGTGAAAAATAAGCCATAAAACATGTGTCGCACGCCCATGTAGCAGAAAGTGAAAACCGTGACCTTTCGTGACCTGATCTGACCTTTAACCGTACTTAGTATGACCCCTATACGCACATGGTACCTTCACTAGGCCTTTGAGGTCATTTTTGGTGAGTTTTGAGCAGCAGCTATCGATTCCGCTGTCCGTAAGCCTAATCATGCAAAACCCCTGAATTTGACCTTTGACCTGACCTTGACCCGAAAGTTGACCTCAATCTTAAAATCTTAAGAGTGTTTTGGGAAGGTCTCGTAGAGACCTTTCGAACGCCGCCTCGCGGGGCTCGATGCGACCATTGGTTCTCGAGATAACAGGGGGGGGGTCGGATCCGACCCCCCAGGCTGTCGTGGGTACGGAAATAGCCCAGGCGGTGCCGGGTTAAGGGTCCAACGCCGGCTCATGCCGGTCCTTTAGGTTCCCACACTGACCTTTAAGGGCCCATGCTGGCCTGTAAGGACCCACATTAGCCTCTTGGGGGTCACACTGGAATCTTAACTCTGAGGACCCGATGCCGGCCTCTGAGGCCCATCTTGGTTTTTGAGGACCTTCTGCTGGCCTCTGGGGTCCAACGCCGGCCCATGGCGGTATTTTAGGGTCCGACACTGACCTCTGACGGCCCATGCTGGCCTGTAATGACCCACATTAGCCACTGATGACCCAAGTCGGCCTCTAAAGGTCTCAAACTGTCCTTTGCAGGCCCTGTTGTATTGGTCTCTGAGGGCCCAAACTGGCCTCTAAAGGTCCCACACCGGCCTCTAATAAGTCAATCAGCCCAGTTGCAGAGGTCGCTGATATATAAACCTCTTAAAACGTTACAGGCCTGAGCCTAGCTGGGCCGTTCATGACGTCGTCAAGGTCATATTAGTTTTTCGTCAATAGCTCCCGATCAAATTGGGCTAGCGAGTCGGGAAAGCCAGCAATGGACCCGGGAAGACCAGCCGAATCGAATGATATGCAATATGACCTCCTTCGCCCATCTTCGTGACCTGGGGGCGCTGACCTGACCGTGACCCGAGGTCAACACCCTAAGTTGACCTTACCCAAACAAAAAGTATATCATTCGACGCGCCTGAGCAAGGCGAACACGATGCTGCCAAAATCGCGGCTCTGCGGCCGTTTTTTTGCGAAGTTATTCACCAAAAACCGAACGTGCCTTGGGACACTTGACCTGACCTCAGAGGTCACCGGTTGACCTAGGACCTTAAAATCGGGTATCAACCTCGGGTCGGGTATCAGAGTATTGTGCATACCAAATTGTAGCCCAATCGGGCCAACGAGAGGCGGGAAATTAGCCGGGATTCGTCAAATAGCCTCAGGGCATATTTCGTATATCGCGTTTGGCTTGATATGATGATTTATTTCTTTACAAGTTAGAATTTCCCCAGAAATATGTTTTGCCTTACTTACTGTCAATACTATGATACATCTTCTGCTAATTTTTCGTAAACATCTGAGGTACAGAACACGGTCAAATTTGAAAATACCCAGTTTGACCTAGTCAGGTCAAAGGTCATTGAAAGGTCACCGACATATATAACATTTTCTATAAAACCTACATCCATTGACTCTCTAATGGCGCTTACCGCAGCTTCCCCGCACTCTTACTTACAGAGCAATGGGCATTTTAATCCCGCAATGGCGGCAAAAATCGTTGATCTTTCATGACCCATAACTCTGACCTCAGAGGTCACCCAGGACTAAAACTTGTAGGATGTATTAATTTTCACAGGTGCTAAGAGCCTACCAAATTTCATCCAAATCGAAGGGGGACGGGTACATTCGTGATCGATTTGACGTGGAATGACCCATTTTTAATTTGTGACCCTCAGTGACCTGACCTCTGTGACCTGACCTGGTATCAGTGACCTCAAATAGCAAGATATGTGTTTGACGAACATTTCCCCATCGATGATATTCAATGAAATGCATTTTACTCGATTTTACAACGCATTTCTTGAAATGCCTGTAAACGGTGAAAATTCGACCTTTGACCTGACCTGTGGCGTCATCGGTTTGACCGAGGCCAATGAAATTAGGTCACAAGGTAGTTCCCCGTTGGGGCTATCCAACGCCGTTTGCCGTTTGTCGCTATGTTGCGTGGTTCTCGAGATCTTAGGGGGGTAACCCTCGCCGGCACAAGGGGGGGGGGGGTTGATGCAACTCCCCTAATGGTTTTCGCGAATAACTCGCGTAAAAAGCGGCCGATCGCGACGAAACTTTCAGCACCCTCGCATTAATGAATTATGCACCTACCCAGAAAATTTCATTAACCCTGACCTAAATGACTTTTGACCTGTGACCTCTTTT